AAAATGTTATAGTCCCCAAAAATTTCTTCTTCGCACACCATGGGGATTTACCCTACAATACAAAGAGTACCTTTAAATGTGTATTTTTTAATCTGATGTATCACACAGAGTTTCTGTGTTCAATTTATTTATTTGAACAACCCATTTCTTGCCTTTGGATGTCATCCAGGCCCCAGAGTGGATTTTTTTTAAAAAAAAAAAATCCAAAACCAAACTAGTGCCAGTTCAGATAAGCTGCATTCTGGTTTTCTTTTTTAATTTGTGATTTATTTTTGGGATGCATATTTCATATTTATAGCCAATGAAATACATCTTAAATCAGCTAACACCCATTAAAAAATAGAATAACACCTACTAAATAAATAAAATTAATGGCAAATGTCATTAACAATAAATCTGGCAAAAGATTAATGTCTTGGGATTTATTTTGTAGGTACAGAATGGGGATCAAAGTGGTTTTATCTTTTTTAAAAGGCATAAGGAAAAATAATGAATCTTACTTGGTCTAAGGCTCTTTATTTTCTCCTTTTCTCATGACTGTTTTCTAATCTAGTTCCAAAATTAGAGGTAAATTGGCAGGATTAAACGTTGTAGTTGTTGTAGTTTTTTATTTTTAAAAAAATAGCAAGTGAGAGATAATGCATAAATAGGCTTAAATTCTAAAGTTCAAAACATGTAATTCCCACTCTTTCGGGCTCCTGATTATACTAAAAATTCAGTGCACATTCTTTAACTTTAAGGAATGTTATTTGGGGTAGATTGAGATGAGATTACTCCTCCAGGTTTAAATTCCCTTCTGTATTTTGTTTTGTTTTAGCAGAGACATTTTCAGTGAAATAAATGCCAGCAAAATAACTATGAAAGGTGGAAGGGCAGATGAAGAATTCCAGGCTGGTTATGGAAAGGTTCCAAATGCAGGTAGAAAATTAGGTTAGGTAGAAGTGTGTTTTTTTTAGGGACTGTGATTCAAGCAAAATCTTATCAACACAGCCTTGTCCTTCAAAGGTGGAATTCCAGGAAAAGGAAGTGAAAGGTAAGATGAGGGTGAACTTCCCATCAATAACAAGCTGTCCCCCTCCATAGTTTCAGATGCAAAGTTATTAAACTTTAGTCTGCATTATAAATGACCTTGTCTTCCCAAGAAAGTCCAAAAACCCGCATTTTGTGAAGATACAAGAATATCGTGTCAATCAAGTCAACACATCTGTTGCTTGTGTAATGTGTTCCCCCCCCCCCCCCAAATGGATCATTGGCTACAAAATCAGTTCAGAATATCAGAGTTGGAAGGGACCTTGAAGGTCTTCTAGTCCAACCCCCTGCTCAAGCAGGAACACTATATCATTCAGGACAAATGACTATCCAGGCTCTTCTTAAAAACGTCCAGTGATGGAGCATCCACATCTTCTGGAGGCACTGATCCACTGATTAATTGTTCTCACTGATAGGAAATTTCCCTTCGTTCTAGGTTAGTTCTCTCCTTGATAAGCTTCCATCCATTACTTCTTGTTTTCCCCTCATGTTCTTTGGATAATGGGTTGACCCCTCTTCTCTGTGACAGCTCCTCAGATATTGGAACACTGCTCTAATGTCACCCCAGTCCTTCTCTTTGTTAGACTAGACATGCTCAGTCCCTTCCATCATTCCTCATATGTTTTAGCCTCCAGTCCCTAATCATCTTTGTTGTTCTTCTCTGTACTCTTTCTAGAGTCTCTGGTATGAATGAAAACAGTACCAAATAAAATGAAAGCACAAAAAGTGGAAGAAATTCCATTGCTGGGGCTTATGGAATAAGCTTTGAATCACTAAACTCAAGTACAAGTAAAATATGGAAATATGATCAGAGCTTTATCAATTTTTATTTTACATGGATTGGCAGAAAAAGATGAAATAATGCACAGTGTGTTGAATGTGAGCAAGATTGGGTAACAGAGACCTATATTCATAAAATTAAAAAGATATCTAAAAACATGCCGACCTGAAACAAAGAAGTCCAGATTATTTCAAAAGAAAAAACTCCATGTGAAGAAAATGATATTTTATACATATTTGCGTAGCAAAAAAAGACCCAAAGAATGTACTTGTTGGATAAAACATTAACCTCCCATCTTGAAAATTCCCATTAATTTGAGCCAGGAATTATACTAATAGGATAGTTTGCATAAAAATAAATTACCAAACACAAGTTACAACTAGACCTCTGATTTAAAGGTTGTGTGCTTTCTTGTGGAATAATGCAACCTTCTTGGTTTTCCATTTATTTGACGAACAGCTTTTTTAGTAAAAAGGACAAATTTTTGTTTATATTATTCTTAGGAAATAGGCAAATGGGGGGCATGAAAGGAAGAGAATTTTAAGAAGTAATTTTCATTATTTCAAACAAAAGGACTCCCAAGTCAGACATCCTATACTCACAATTCTTGTTTAAATAAGAATCACTCTCTAGCTTCTTCGCAAAGAAACTTAAATCTTCCATAAAATGCTTGTCATTTATAAACTTAGACAACTCTTGTACAGACTATCTGGAAAGCAATATTGTGATTTACCCAGAATTTTTCCTTTAATTTTCATTCCCAATAGTGCTATTATGATTAATGTTCAAATTGTAACGGAAACTTTTTCTGATGCTTACCATAGAAAGAATCCTGTGAGATAATTTAACCAGAATTTGAAGGGTAGGTGAATTCTGCACTGAATTATCATTACAAAATGGATTCTAAACTGCTAAATGAAACTGAGTTCAGAGTTTGCTTAAAATAAATTAGATGGAATACAGACTGTACTTTGTCCCATGGAATGCATTTTTGCCACCGTGCCTTACTTGAAGGTAAAAACACAATTGCTGCATTTTGATATATACAAACCTACCTAGATATTAAATAAGGCTAAGACTGGTTACTTATGCAGTATTAAGAAATTTTTGTTTTGTGATACATTTCATTATTGGTTTATTTATTCATCATTTTTATAAATATTATTCAGTCACATTAACCTATCCAATGTTTGCAAAACCCATGCTGCAAATATTAATTTTGCACTTTTGCTTATAATAAACACTTTGTTTCTGATCATCATTTCAAGTTGTCTATCACTTTTCCTTCTAAACAGAGATTCTGGAACATTTTTTAAACTCACAAGCCTGAAAAGAGTTGGGGGAAAACATGACTTTTCTTTTAGTGATGTAATTGTTTTAAATTTACAATATTTCTGCATAAATATGTCATAAAACATGATCTGTTCTCCATACAAGCCCTAAAACTAGATAAAGAGAACTTGGCTAAATAAATCAGCCAAAAATATTATAATTACTCATTGATTTATTGAAGGAAATGATACAAAGCTACATATTTGTGTGTGGCAAATGTATGTGAACCTTTATCACTTTATTTGAAAGGAAATTAGAGTCAGGCATTTCTATCAATGGGATGGCACTCAGGTGAGAGTCTGGGAGGTCCTGATTTATCTAAAGAAATAAGAATTCTGGCTATCTGCTATCAAAGTCTGTTCTACAAGTGTTGTGGAATTGTGTTATGGTTTGAACAAGGGAGATTTCTGAGGATCTCCCAAAAACAGTTTCTGATGCTCACCATGCTGGACAAGGTTACAAAACTATTTCAAATTATTTAGGCTCCAGATGTTAGACAGATTGTGTACAAATTGATGCCATTCAGTACCAACATTACCCTACTCACAAATGGTCAACTAACTTTTTGGCTTCTGTGAAAAGGGATATTCTTGGCAAAAGGCAAAGATTGCTTTCAGCATAAGAACCCTATCTCATCTGTGAAACACAGTGGTGGTGATATTCTGATCTGGACCTCTGGACATAGGTGGTCTGCTATCCTTGAAGGAACTATGAATTCTGAATTGTAATAGGAAATTCTATAGGAAAATGTCAAGGTATCTGTCCATGAACTGAAGGCCAAGCAAAAGTGGATCACACAACAAGACAAGAACCCACAAGTTGTAAAACCAAAGAATGATTAAAGCAGAAGAAAGTTTAGAATGGCCAAGTCCTTTAGAAATATTGTGGGAGGACATGAAGTGAGCAGTACATATGAGAAAGCCCACCAACATCCCTGAGTTGAAGCTGTTCTGTAAGGAGGAATGAGATAAAATTCCTCCAGGCTGATGCGCAGGACTGATCAACAGTTATTGAAAATGTTTAGTTGCGGTTATTGCTGCCCAACCAGTTACTGAAAGGAAAGGCTCACCTACTTTTCCACACAAAATATATAGCATTGGATCATTTCCTCAATAAATCAATGAAGAAATGTGTTTTTGACTCACTTATTTAATTGGCTTCTCTTTGTCTAGTTTTAGAACTTAGAAAAGTGATTGTGCTTTAAGGCACAGTTATGCAGAAATATTGAAAACTCAGAAGCACCTCTCTATATTAAATGTAAGACAACAGCATTTAAAACATGCCAGTCCAGACAAGCAAATATAAGACAAGAGCAATCATGTTTAAATACTGTGCCAATCTCATGTTACCACATAAGCCATGAAAAAGTTTAATCAGAACAGATATTTGCTAGCTATCCATCAAAATGTTTGTTTCTTTAATGACATGACTAACACTTTCCAAAGAGTCATGTTAGCCTTTTAAAGAAAATAGAATGATTAGTTTTATGGAATCATAAAAGCTAATACATTTATTACATAAGCATTCATGGATTAAAGTCCACTTGCAATAATAAATGCATTCCTCTTAAGATGACATGAAATCCTACTACTAGCCCAACTGTGGGGAATAGTGTTTGGTTATTTGTTTAAATCTGACAGCTATATGGTTAGGTCTGGAGAAATTGGATGGAATGAAGGGACAGTGAATAAAAATAAGGTAGGAAGATGAGATTGTTTTGGCATTCTACTTATGGAAGACACAGAAGTCTTGTCATAGTCTGTATTGTTACACCAACAAACAGTAATTGGCTTCATTTTTCCTCTTAATTTCTTTTTAATTCCTCTTAACAAAATTAAGAAAAAATTAAGCAGCTAACCTGCATTCTGTGTGCATTTTGCTTGCAATAAGAGAAGGGGCAGGTTCCAAATCCCGTCGCTACCGGTTCACTCGTGCATGCGCGCTCGTGCGTGCACAGCATTTCTGCATATGTGAAGAAGCTTCCGGGCAGGTGGGTGGAGCCTCCTGCCGCTGCCACTACCAGTGTGCCCAATCCAGTGTGAACCAGTAGCAACCCACAACTGAATAAGAGTCAATCCAGGAGACTATTGCTGAGGATTCTAACTACAAATAAGTTTTCAGTCACAACTGAATAGTCTTTCATCGTACGTATCTCAGGACTACATACTGTTACATCATTTGGTGAACTACTGAATTGCAAGAGACAGCTTCACAATACACACATACCAAAAAAAAAAAAAAAATCCTTCATATTGTAACTGTCTTGCATACCACTTTTGTTTTATTCCTGAATTCCTCAGAAACGAGTTGAAGACAATGGTATTCTATTGACCTCTAAGCACTGAGCAAGAGGAAAAAATAATATTCAATCATTGTCTTATTCAAATTTCCTCGACCTATTCCACACAAAAGGGGAGTATAAAATAAATCACTTGGGAGTTCCATCCACACCCTTATTTCATGCGATACACACATGTCTGATGGAAGGGACAGAAGGAGGAGTACAGAAGCAGGGAGGTGAAAGAGAGGCACAAAATTGTCAAAACTATTTTCTTCTTGAAATATTTCCTAAAATGGTGGAAGCCAAGAAATGGGGAATTGGATAACCAACAAGCTCTACGGTTTTTCATAGAAAAAATTTTTTTTTTCAAATAGTTGGCAGCTGGATTAGACATAAATCTATTTGTTCTCAAACATAGATAACAATATGTGATAATAGGTCCAGAAGTACTTTGACCTGGGACTGAGTTCTTATGTAAATTTCCCACTAGATTTTTTTCCCTACTATACCCACTAACTGGAAGGAGCATAGAGAAATTCGTGTTGTGCCTAGAAATATCTCCTGGCTCTGATATGTTTTCAGTCATTTTCTCTTGACATTCTACTGATATACATTTCAGCCTCGGTGACTTATAGTCCTGGCTCTTGATTTTTCCCCCAGAATATTATACATAGTACAATTGGTCTCTTTTCAAACTGTTTTAAAACTTTATTTTTCCTTTCCTTATTTTCTTCACATGTTGTTTATTGGATTAGAAACTTTCAACTAAACTATTTTAAATATTATTGCCACTGTTATTAATTTCTATGTTGTTTTCCAGTTATTAATCACAAGTGCTTTACAACATTTCTTTAACAGTATGAAATACATTTAAAAAAATAGAATGGTAAAATACAGTGAAGCTTGGAATCAAGACCAAATATGAAAGGAATAACAAAAGAGCTCAGCAATCAGTAGTTCATGAAATTATACTATAGAAGATGCTTAGTGCACCTCCAAAGCCTCCAATCTTCATCTTATATTATTTCTCATAAATATTGTAGAGCAGTAATCTGATTGAAAGCCTCTGAAAGATCAAGCAGCAGAATTTTTAAAAAAACTAAAGACTCCTATTTTAAGATAATTCTTAGTGACTGCATGAAAACAATCATATAGTTTTCTTAATAATAAGGAAGAAAGCCAGTTTGCTTTAGTGGTTAAGGTGCCAAACTAGAAATTGGGGGACCGTGATTTCTAGTCCTACCTTGAACACAAAGCAACTGAGTGATCTTGGGCCACTCGTTCACCCACAACCCTAGGAAGAAGCCAATAGTAAAGCACTTCTGAAATCTTGCCAGAAATGGTCCATGCACAAAACTAGCAAGGTGACCTTGGGCCCATCACTTTCTCTCACTCTTGGAACAAAGCAATGACAAATTACATCCAAAACCTTGCCAAGAAAACTAAAGGGACTTGTCCAGGCAGTGGCCAGGAGTCAACACTGGCTTGAAGGCACACCCTCCCCCACCCCAAAATAAGGAAGAAGTTTAATTTTTTGATTGCCTAGTCTAATTCACAGCCATGACATTTCCTGATTTCTCTCACATCCAGATGTCAACCAAGTCTGATTCTTCTTACTCTTTGGGGATCAGCCAAAATTGTTAAAAGCTGCCACTTATTATAGAAAATGTTGAATGCCTGAAATCCTACCCATTTTTTTTTTGATTAACACTTATCCAACATAATGGGTTGATTTTCATGAAAACTAGCTTGAATATTATTTCTGTTTCAAACACATTGCCTGTTAATAGAACATGCTCATCCATGGTTACTTAATTGATTTAATTCATGGGCTTGAATCAGATGTGGGTTTCAGCAGGTTCTGACCAGTTCTGGAGAACCGATAGCGGAAATTTTGAGTAGTTCGGAGAACCAGTAGTAAAAATTCTGACTGGCCCTGCCCCCATCTATTCTCTGCCTCCCAAGTCCTAGCTGATCGGGAGGAAATGGGGATTTTTTTTTTTATTATTTATTTATTTATTCAATTTATATACCGCCCTTCTCCTATTGGACTCAGGGCGGTGCACAGCCAAGGATAAAAAACATACCAATACAAAATTTAAAATCAATTAAAAGAATTATACAGCTTTGGCCCACAATTTAAAACAATCCAATTAAAACCCAATTTACACTTAAAAAGCTAAAAAGTTAAAAAGAGCTAAAATGGGGGGGGGGAGGTTTCACGCCAGCCCTGCTTGATGGAAAAGAAAAGTTTATAGGGCACGGTGAAAGGCCCGGAGATCTGGTATCCTTCGTATTTCCAAGGGCAAATTGTTCCAGAGGGCAGGTGCTGCCACAGAGAAGGCCCTCCCCCTGGGGGTTGCCAGCCAACATTGCCTGGCTGACGACACCCTGAGGAGTCCCTTTCTGTGGGAGCGTACTGGTCGGTGGGAGGCTATCGGAGGCAGAAGGCAGTCTCGCAAATACCCAGGTCTGATGCCATGGAGCACTTTAAAGATGGTGACCAACACCTTGAAGCGCACCCGGAAGACAACTGGAAGCCAATGCAGCTCGCGCAGGAGAGGCATCACATGGGAGCACCCTCTTGCTCCCATAATCTCCCACGTGGTCGCATTCTGCACCAGTTGGAGCCTCCAGGTGCTCCTCAAGGGGAGCCCCATGTAGAGAATGTTGCAGTAGTCCAGGCGGGAAATGACGAGCGCCTGAGTGACTGTGTGTAAGGAGTCCCGATCCAGAAAGGGCCACAACTGGTGAATCAGGCAGACCTGATGAAAAGCCCCCCTGGCCACGGCCGTCATATGCTCTTCCAAAGATAGCTGTGTATCCAGGAGGACGCCCAAGTTGCGAGCCCTTGGGGGCCAATGATTCGCCCCCAATAGCCAGCGTTGGCACCAGCTGGCTATATCGGGACGCCGGAAGCCACAGCCACTCGGTCTTGGAAGGGTTGAGTCGAAGCCTGTTATTCCCCATCCAGATCCACCCGGCCTCCAGGCACCAGGACATCACTTCAAGGGCATCGTTGGGATGGCCTGGGGTGGAGATGTACATGTTGCAGTAACTTTCCCCTGGATTGGGGAGGGAATGGAGATTTTGCAGTACCTTCCCATAGAGTGGGGTGGGAATGGAGATTTTTCAGTATCCTTCCCCTGCCACGCCCACCAAGCCATGCCCATCAAGCCATGCCATGCCCACCAAGCCACACCCACAGAACCGGTAGTAAAAAAAATTTGAAACCCACAACTGGTTTGAATGACATACTGAACTATGGATTATCTACATAAGGGTAGGTGTGAGGGATATGCTAGGTTAATTTCAATTTGTGAGAACTTCGCCATTAGAATGTTTTAGACAAGCCTTATCCATTTCTCCCTTCACAATATGGTATAATTTAGAGACCCACTCATTGAGCAATCGTCTTCAACCTGGATTCCAACAGATATGGTATTTTAGACATGGCCATTCACAATTTTCAGATACTGCATGGCCATGCAGATTAGGAACTTGGGAAATTGTGGACCCAGGTTTTATAGAAGGCACAAGGTTGAGGCAAATTGCTAAAGAGATACTCCATAAAATAGCTGAGGGAACATTTTATTTTCATGTGTAAAGAATTGTTATATATGAAATTTTGTTCCAAAACTTTTTCTGTCAGACTACCTTAGCTCAACTTTAAATAGATCTGGCTTCAATAGATTGTGAGGAAGAAATGGCATATCTGAATCAACCCATGTGATTCTGTAGGAATCAAGTTTCTGTAGGTTGCTCTTTTCAGCCAACCCAGTTATTCATTCTGCCTACAAATCTAAGTTGACAGGTATTGATCTTCTTGAGCCCCGAATGACATTTATTATGAAATTGACAAGCAGCACAATACATTTAGATTGGCATTTGTGTACTTTTGCTTCAGTTTTGCTTTTAAGCCTTTTGGATTTGCTTGATTCTATGAAACTACTTTAAAGATGACAGGGCAAGTAGAGAAAAAAACATAATAATCATTCTTATTCTCCAAACTACATTTTAAAAAGCTTCTTTAAGACGTTTAAATGGGGAGGGAACTTTTATAAAAGTTTAGGCCTTTATTATATTACTGTTCTTGAGAAATCCCCTATGGATTAAAATAAAAGTAGAAACATAAAAAGTAAATGCTTTTGGAACTTGGGTTAGTAAAAATAAAACACACAGCAAGAGCATTTGAGCCTGAATATTAACCAAATAGGCCTACTAAAAAGTAAGTTGGATTGAGCTTGGTAGGGCCTATCTTTAGCAAGAGGATATTCAAATTGCAAATTAAAAATACCTTAATTAATACCTTGCTCCTAGCATTTGAGAAACTTATTTTTTAGACTTAGGTTTTTCTTAACAAAGATTTGTGTACACTTCCAAAAAAAATTCAAAGAGGTAATTTAATCGAAACTTCTAATATTTTTTCAAGAATTAATAATTGGATGCTTACCTTTGATCCTATCCTGTAAAAAAGTATTATATTCCTAAAAATGTTTACATGGTTTTGAAAGATGTTGAACTTGGTTGAATAAAGAAATGTTTGATAGGGTTGGACTTTCCAACCCAAGCAAATATGGATAGCTGTATATGTGTGTTTATACATCTCTGTCTCTGTCTCTCTGTCTCTCTGTCCATCTGTCTCTGTCTCTCTGTCTCTGTCTCTCTCTCTCTGTGTGTGTGTGTGTGTGTGTGTGTGTGTGTGTGTGTGTGT